GTAACTGGAAAGACTATGCCTGAATCAGACGCACCTTAGTCTTAAAACTGACATCACTACTCCTCAATAATTTGGAAAGGCCCCTGACTACAGATTTTCCAAGTGCAAAGTGTCTCCTTATTTACTGACTGCTGGTACCAAGAGTGTTAATTGTGGATCCAAGCAAGATGAAGCTGTTGACAGCTTCAATCTCCTCGCCATACATCATGATGCTGCCTATTGATCCAGTAGTGAGAATCTTTGTTTTCCTGACACTGGAATGCAATCCATATCAAAGGCTGAATTCCTTGATCTTCTGCAACTAGTGCTTCAAGTCCTCACTTCCAGCAAGTAAGGTTCTGTCATATGCATAGCACTAGTTAGTAACAAAAATGGGGAAAAAATATTTAAGTTGCTAAGCATTTCACTTTGCAAGGACCCATCATAAACTCTCATGGAAGCAGAGACTGAGAAAACTACTTCAAATGATCACTAAACATTAAATGTTTAATATCTTAAAACATATCTAAGTATCTAAACAGATTTGTCCTGGAAAGGGTTAAACCATGTGGCTCCTTGGAGACAAGGATTCTGAGGCTCCATCTAACATACTTTGGGCATGTTGTGAGGAGAGACCGGTCCTTAGAGAGGGACGTCATACTTGGGAGGGTGGAGGGACAGCACAGGAGAGGAAGGCCCTCTATGAGGTGGATTGATTCAGTGACTGGGATAATCGGGATGGGAGTGTCAGAGACAGTGCGAATGGCACAGGACAGAGCAGAGTTTAGGGCTGTTGTACATAGGGTCAGACTTGATAGCACATAACAACAACAACAACAACAATATCTGAAGACCACATGAATTGTGAGATGACATCAAAGATACCATACACAAAGAAAGTGAAAAGTCATCTATAATACAAGTATGAAAATACCACAATAGATACCAGAGAAGACTGTAAAACTTGCTTTAGATTTTGAATAGATAAAGTAAAAAGAAAAAACTATGACGTAAAAGAGCTAAGTTTAAAAAAGGATAAATTGAGAGGACAATGTAATAATTAAATATGTAAAATTCTGTACTAAGTAAACCAAAATGGAAGAACACATTGAGCATTGCTTATAGAACTGGGGTGGGGGGATTAATTTCATGTTGCACTAATAAAAACTTTTATGGATTAAATATTTTCAATATTTCAATATTTCAAATCAGAAAACATTGAAAGAAGATGGAAGACATAATAAAAGTCACTCTACCGAATATACATTGTTGATTTTCAGCCATTTATTAAAGAAAAAAGTAGAAACTGCACTGAAAGCATTCGCAAAAGAGCAAGGGTCTAGAAACTGACTGACTATCAATGAAGATATTTCAACAATACTGGAAGCACTCACTTGTCCAGGACAAGAAATTTCAAAAACAGCTAATTGGTCAACCCATGTAAGAGAGCCATAATTGTGTGCTCATACTAAAGAAAGGTCATTACATAGAATGTATAAATGGTGGACCAATAGCATTGATATAGCAAGCAAGGTTTTACTGGAGGTAAATCTAAAAAGACTGCATGCAACTACTAGAAATTCAAATAAAATTCAGAAGAAAATGTGGAACTAGAGATATCAATTATTAATGATCTATCTTGGCAGAAGGAAGAGCATATCCGTATTTACCTGCATTTTAATCCACTATGCAAAGATTTTCTAATATGAAAATCATAACAAATTATAGATAATATTTTGAAGGATGGATATTCTAGAATATTTAACTGTTCTCCTGTAGAACTTATACAAATAGCAAGAGGTAGTTATTACAACAGAATTAAGGGGATACTGAGTGGTTTAAAAATATGAAAGGTATCAGTCAGGGTTGTATCTATTCATTATATTTCTTTATTCTGTATCCTGAGGAAAATGGCTGGAAGCTGGACTACATGAAGAATACCTCATCAGGATAAGAGGAGGGCTCATTAACAATCTGATGTTAAAACCTAGGTTGTTGAAAGTGAAGAGAAGTTGAAATACT